ACGGGCATAGATAAGTCTATGCCCTCAGAGTTAGCAACCCGTCCCCTTTCAACATGGAGGACCGCACACTTATCCGTTCCCAGCTCCATTCCAATAGAATTGCTAAATTCACAAGTGATGTTTAGCAATTCCATAAGATGGGAGCGACTGGAGGCGAATAACTTGAGGTCATCCATATAGAAAAGGTGGGTCACTTTTGTCCCTCCTTTCCGTAGCTGAAATCCCCTCCCGGAGCCCTCCAGTAAGGTACTGAGAGGGTTCAGAGAGAGGCAGAACCAGATTGGACTCAGACAATCGCCCTGGAAGATACCCCTTCTTATCCTTATGTGGTTCTCCGCAGCCATCATCCGCTCGCCTAGATGACAAAGGATCGTACTCCACTGCCCCATACACTGCTCGAGGAAGTCTCTAACTGTACAGTCTATCTTGTACAGCTCGAGGACTCTCTTTAGCCATGTATGGGGCACCGAGTCGAATGCCTTTCTGTAGTCTATCCAGGCGGCGGAGAAGTTCCGACGGTTGCGTTTCACCACTTTGCCAATGACCGCGTCAATGAGGAGTGGTTCCTTGGTTCCACGACCACCGCCCCGACATCCATTTTGAGCGCGCGACATCACCTGATTTGAGTCCAGGTGACAAGTGATTCTCGCGCTCAAAATGGATGTTAGTGTCTTGTATATGGTCGGTAGACACGTGATGGGGCGGTATTTGCTCGGGTCTGTGGTACCCTGGTCTTTAGGAACTAAATGAGTGATCCCAGTAGTGAAGAGGCTTGGGAGCGACTTCTGGTTGAGAGCCTCTTGAAACTGTCGGGCGAGCACAGAGTGACACACCATGAACCCCTTCAGCCAGTAGTGATGCAGCCCGTCAAGCCCCGGACTTTTCCAGTTCGGGGCCCTACGAACCGCCTCAGCTACGTCATCCGGCGTTATGATGACGGGGTCCATGGGCGTAATACCCGCACACTGACTCGCCACAACTTCCGTCCAAGGGCCCTCGCTGTGGTTTACGGGCTCTGACCACAGGCCGCGCCAGAATGCTACAGTGTCGGCCTGATCCGGTGCTGGACCCGTTCCACTTACCATTGGTCGCTCCAATGATTCATAGAGCCTCTTCTGATCACTCTGGAAGAGACGATTCTGGTTGAACCGTGTCGACCTCTCGGTATATCGCCGAATCCGCTTTCCCCAAGCAGCGATTCTCTGCTTCAGATCATCTATGCGCTCCGTCAGTTTTTGCGTTATATCCGGCTGGGACAAACTGACATTTGTCCCAGCAAACGCCATCCTGACGGTGCGCACAATTCTTGGCCTGTTGTTGCCTGATCTGAAGCATATCAGTCTGCCGATGAGAGCTCTAGCCTTTGCGATACGTTCCTCAATTCTTCTTCTCCATGCTGGGATAGCGCTACTATGGCCAGTAGCGCGTCCAGCCGTGGAAACCTTGGCGCCTATGATACGGCAGACTGCCAGCGCGGCGCCAAAAAGAATTGAGTCCGTCTCGCAAAGGTCCCGGCTGGCTTCCAAATAGGTAACCAGCATTGGGTTCAGAGCCCTCACGACAGCCCGATTCCGCTTGCTTAGGGCTATGCGGGGAAGTCGCGGTCGATTTTCGAGAGGCGTACTGCGCGTTTCCACAATCGCCTCTTCCAATATACTCCTCATATGCTCTAATTCCAGTTCCTGGGCGACTGTTCCATCATCGTTTGAATCAACCACAACTGGGGTATTCACGGCGGCATCCACGTTTGCGGGTTGCTCTACCATTTGTGGCGCCGCATCCTCAGCCGTAGCATTCTCATCCGACGAGGGAACAGCCTCACGTCGTAGCCGTTCGAGTTCGGCGACATCAAATATATTTGAGCGCAAGATATACCGAACTCGGTCTGCCAGGTTTTGCTCTGTGACGATTAAAGATGGCTCCAGCTCAGCAAAAAGACGATGCATCCTAGCCCGATACGCCAAACATCCAGTTTCTTCCCCTTTTGCCCTAAAGTACGCCCGCAGTGCGTTTGCATTCATTTCTTGTGACCAACGCATGCGACGTGCTCCACCAGCGGCGGGTGCCGCTTGCTGAGTCCGAGAAGACCCAGCCGACACCAAGCCTTCTGGTGGGGATGATGGATGCGGAGGGCTGGTAGATGACCGTGCAGCTCCTCGCGCTCGGCTGGCGGCCCGCATGCTGCCGCGTCCAGCGCCAGCTCCAGACGCGCCCCGGCGACCCCCCAGGCAGCGGCCCTTTGCGCACTATCTTTTTATCCATCATCCATTATTTGGGCGTCCATTAACGGGAGACGCCCAGGCCCGGCACCGTTATTATTATTATTATTATTATTATTATAAATCCCACCTTATTCTTTCATTTCTATCTTTTATGGCTATGTTTAATTGTTAAATTAATCTTTAAATGTATTTACCGTTTTAACACCGAGCCTGTATTTACTTTTAAGTAGTTTGTGTTTACTTTTTAAGTAGTTGTTACATTTTGTAAGATTTATTGTAAGAAAAGATAAATGTTATATTTTTGTTGGAAACTGCTGGTAATCCTTTTGAAATAGATAAATAAATAAAAAAAAAACGCTAAAATCTTAGAAGCGCTTGATGTAAGGTTAGGAGCCAACAGTTGAACGGATGTCCACATCTATGCTTCTGCAATAAAATAGAAAAGATTTACAAATATACTCCAAAATTAAAAAGAATAATTGCGGAACATGACATCGATATCTCACACACCTTGCAGGAAAATTACTTAACGAAAATGCCGCCACTCTTCACTTCTAAAGCAGTGTCATGGTGTTGGAAAGAATCCTTGTGCATTGTTACCTTCTCACTATTGTTTTCATACTTCAGGAGGATCATTAAAGGTTATAAAGATATAAGGTTTTTTAAAATAAAATAAGGGTAATAAACAAGGACACAACCTGATGGTAAATGGATATTGTAGATGATAAACGTACATACATCTATCCTCGATCAAAATGCAGATGCGTAGTCACCCCTTAGATGGAACGCATTGATGCCAGTAATATCGATCTCTGGTTTTCTCCACTCACCACAATAACACTGTTATTTTAGCTAGTATATTGTGAGATCATAATCCTTCCTCGATCGAGCCGACCTACACGTGTTGCCACAGTTAAATAGTTGCAGCATAGCTCTATCACATATAAATGTATATCTTAATTATGAGCTTAATAAAGTAGTGTAATAACTACGTAAGGAATCCATTAATCAATTTTGTCGTACCATGATGTGTGATACTGCTGCTCATCTCCTGGTTTGTTCTCCTCTATAACCATTTACGACACTGACGGGCGATTTGAGTTGATTTTCTTACATGGCCACTACATAGTCATATTTCACTTATATTTGTAAAAAGTATTAACACATATCTCAAGAATTATTCTGATTTATTTGAGCCACGAAATTCCGCCATCGCACATAGCGACAAATTCGCGTATTTCATCCACAACAAATTTATGCTTGTCAGTCCACCAATGTGTAATTTACCAGAAGTTTTCCTAGTGCGGTTTTTTTGTGGAATCTACAAAGTAACTTTCATGATAAGAGCTTACTCCTTTTTAATAATTCCTCTGGTGTCACAGTTGCCCTTGGGCGGAAAAGTATCATCCTAACAGGATGCCGTTTGCTAGTTTGCCCTTACTGCTAAAAAAAAAGAAATAAAGGAAGTTTCAATATGCTAAAGTTCTATTACTATACTTACTTTTGCAGTACTCCTTGGAAGGCCATCAGTTTGCCGTATTCGCTTTCCGTTTAAGCTCAGACAAACGTTATGTTGTGTCTATCTCAAGCCGTGTTATCTCCAGGAACTTGTCAACGTCAGACCTAGCAAGGGATCTATGCCCGCAACTGGAGGGAATCATTCAGAATTTAGAAATATCGCCGGACAATAAATGGGCTGCAGCATCCACAAATAATTCAGTGGTAAATTTAAATGTTATGTGTATAATGTATGTGTAATTTTTTTTTACTTAATTATTCTGTCAATAATAATAATAAAGTGTAATAAGTCAGCGCTTACCTACAATCCCACCTGATGATAAGTGGTAACGTAGCCTAAGATGGTGAAGCACACTGACTTAACAAGAACAACACACACTGTAATCGGATGGAAAGACAGATACTAGCAACTTATTCCACTCTTTGCTGTACGCATGATGAACGACGTAGCAAACCGTTTGGTTCAAATGCAATTAGATGACTAATGCCCGGTTTCTGAAGTTCCCAGTTATATTCCCATTAGCTATTGATTCAATAAAGTTATCTATAAGATATCCGTCGGTTAACTGTCATTGCGTTTCTGAATAACAAATCAACCGTTCAACAACTATGAAACCAACAACAAGTTCCATAATTTGCCACTAGATGGGTCTGTTTCGACTCATCGAAGACATCGAGTCTAAAATTCGTTTTTTTTTATTTCAATTCTTCATTTATACTAGTATTATTCATAAAATATTATTTTTTGAGGCTAAATAAGTGAATATGCATTGTTTTAGCAATACATTAAGATAATTCAATATTTATCAGAGACTCTATGGACGACATCATTGTACTGTCAAATTGTTTAAAAAGAAAACATCATACTGTAGGCTACAATTGACAACAAAAAGACGGACGGGACTACTGTTGAGGCCAAGAAGCAAGCTTGGATGGCGTTGACCAATAAATATAATGCTCTTACTGAAACGGGAATTAGAACAGAAAAACAATTGCATGCGTTGTATGACAATTTAAAAAAAAGCTAGAAAAAATATAAGCAATGATAAGGTAGGTCATATCCTAATTATTTTTGTTTGAACTAAATAAACTTTTTTATTATGCAAAGTGCCAAGGAACTTTACTGTACAAACTGTAGTATTACTTTGTAGTGTACTAATAATATACATCATTATATTCTACGACCTATTTAATCGGCACAGTTATTGCCTTGGAGTATTTACAATAATAATTTATTCTCATATAAAGTAACGCAATGGTATGCAACAAGTATGTAATGAATTTCAGTCCGAGCTGTACAAGACAGGAGATGGAACATTTTGCCCTAAGACAACTGCAGTCGATGAAAAGGTTGTGGCTTTATTATCTCCACAATTTAAACCATTATCTAATGATTTTGACTTATCAACACCATATTACACCATAGGTACGTAAGTTTAGTGTTTTTCTAACATCATACTACATCAGAATTTAGCATTTATTGAGCATGCTTTTACCTGATGTTTTGGTTAAATTCTTCTTATATCCACTATTTCACCATGGGGCTACACATAACCTGAGCAATTAAAATTATAGATGTAAATTTACAGGAAAAAATTAGTTTAAATCTAATCAAACTTAAAAGATAATGAAACAAAATATAATTAAATAATCATTTATTTAATGTGGTTTAAGTACCCATGCACCAATTTCTGAACATAGATTTATCTGTACAATTATCAGCTACAGAAATAGAAATAGAAACTTTTTTATTCAATACAGATTATAAATAATACTTATTAAAATACACTTTTTTTCATTTACCACTGGTTCGCAAAAAAACCTCTCTCCTGGGATGAATTGGCGAGAAACCCAGCGGGACTATTTTTTCAAAATAATAAAATTACACTAAAATTACACATAACACAATAGTGACTGACTTTTGCAATTTATTCATTACAGATATTGTTAAAACACAACAGCTAAACGATACACACGATTTTTCTCAAGAAGTATTGGGTGCAAAAGAAGATTCTGTGCATCAACTTCAACAATTAAAAGGTTCCAAAAGAAGGATTTCACCTCTTCTGGTATCTGACATCACACCGAAAAAAAGATTTGTTTAACTGAAACAAAAAAGAAAAATATAAATAGCATCAGTGTTTCAATAATAAAAAAGAAAAAACCAGAAGCAAATGAATGAAGATACCATATCAATAGAAATATTGGAAGTTTACCTTCAAAATGAACATATGAAATTAGAAAAAAAAACTTTTACTGGATCTTGATATTGAGTTAAAGCGGAATCTTTTAGAAAATTCAAAAAACGGACTAAAAGAATATAATAATAATATATATAATTAAAAAAGAATCTTTTATAAAATTCAAAAATGGACTTAGAATTAAAAAAAGAATCTTTATCAAATTCAAAAAATGGACTTAGAATTAAAAAAGAAAAATTTTAATTTATAATGGCCAACATATAATAAATTAAAATTCTTATTTTATATCCTAAGTCCATTTTTGCACTTTGTAAAAGATTTTCTTTAGCTCTATATCAAAATCCAGTAAATTTTTTATATTTTTGTTATTTGATGATTTCATATTGATGTTGAATCTTCAATATTTGTAATGTTTTAGTTTTTATTAATTAAACCTCTTGTTTATAAATTCTATTCTCTCTATTTTTACATGGCCAAAGTATAATAAATTCATTTAGTTTTATATTAGTATTTTATTATAGTTTTTATTTATTAAAATTCTTGTTTATATATTATATTCACTATATTTTACTAGAAATACAAATAAAATATACATACACAAATTTGTTTTTATTAACATAATACATTTTTGATAACTGGTAGCAATGCTGCAGATATATTATAATTGTAGCACGAATAGGTCAGTTGAACTGGGGAAAGACCATGCCCTCACCGAATACTAGTTTGAATTAACAGCTAAATATGCTGCTGTTTCATTTGGTGAGCATTGCGAAGTTGCTCTGAAATAAAGCGGAGACCCTTTAGGCATTCCATCTTACTCCTCAACGGTGACAATGCATCTGCATTTTGATTCCTAATAGAGGATAGATGTAGATGTCTAGGGGCCCCTGCATCCACTTAACATCAGGTGAACCATATGCTCCTTTGCTTTTTCTGTTGCTTTATTACACCAACCTAAAATATTGTTCCAACAATAAACGACGAAAATGGTTTCCTTCACAGGGAAGAGGTTGTTCAATTGATTCTGTAATATCTTCTTCCGAAGCGGAATCAATCGCCAGAATATCATTTTGCTGTGTAGCTATATTGTGTAACACAGCTGTTGCAACAATCACAGCTAATAAATATGAATATTATAATAAAATCCAATTTTAAGCTTAATTTTAAGAAAGGCATGGAAATCTTCTTTTCCATACACCAAATTTCCTTTCAACTGTATTTCTGGTCTTGATTTGTGTTTCATTGTAGAGTTTTTTCTGCATTTGTAGCTGGGTTTAAAAATGATGTCGTCATGTAGCGTCCTCAAAGATATGCACTATCTCCAAGGAGGTGACCATCTAACTCTTTGTTATTCAGGCGTGCTCAGAGGAATGAGTTATTAAAAACTGTACTGTCATGTGTTGATCCATGCCAGCGGGCATCTAAGTCACGAATTTGCAACTTTGCATCACACACAACTTGTACATTAATAGAAAAAAAACCTTTTCTATTTCTAAATAATTCTGCTTGCTCACCTCCAGGAGATTGAATATGTATGTGTGATCTATCTACACAACCAATTTCATTTGGAAATCCTGCGATATCAAAAAATTGTGCTTTTACTTCTCTTAGGTCTACAACATTTGGCATACTTATATAACTCCTTGCTAGTTGGCTATTTCCTTGCTTACTTAATATACCACTCTGGATACAGTAGTTTTGTGAACATTAATGTCATCACCAATTACTATTTGGAAAGTACCGGTAGCATCAAATCGTAATGCTATGAAAATTTGTTCTAACACAGACAATGTATTCTGATGCATAATGGGTGCTAGAGCAGAGCTGATGGTCTCACTTAGGTGTATCACAGTATTCTTATCAAAGCGATATCTCAATGTCTTAAGTTTCTGGGTACTGATATACTAGAAATAAACTCCAGTACTTCCAAATCAGACTCGGAAGAGCTACTCTTATTCATTGCACTTCTAATTTTATTCCTTTAATATTTAAGTATTTAGCGCTCACTGGCAATTTATTTTAATAATAACACGATATAACCTAAAAGTTGATGCAGTTTGCTTGAAATTAAACGTCACATAAAGTTATGGAACCGATAAACGGCACTGATTGGCCAGTTAAATTTAACTTAGCTTAAACGGAGTTTATCTTCCATTGCGAGGTTCGGAAACGCATTTTCATAAGTTATCGAACAAATAGCGCTAACGAATAGATGAACTGCCGATAAAAGTACCTCAGAAACCGGCCATAAGAAAGCTATATTTTGGTGGTTTACATATGTAAAAAAATGGATGAGTAAAGATTGACATAGTAAATTCCTGCTGGAGAAGTGAGTTGCATATGCGGCAAGATACGCTCTAGAATCTAGAATCATAATTATTAAATTATATAAATATTATTTAATAGTCTAGATATTATTTAAACATTTTGAGTGGATGTGGTAGAAGCGAGAGAAGTTTGTTAGCATCGTGCCAAGTGGAAATCCGTTATCTCCGCCTACCCTTTTGGGTGAAAGGAATAACAGTCTAAACAAAGAGAGTATTGTCTATGAGTAGGGTCTTAGAGAATAATTAACATAATGATTTCTTCTATTTACGCGTACACAACACATTGAATTTGCATTTGTTCCCATTTTATAGCGTTTTATTTTACCTATGGTGCCACACGTCCCTTTGTCAAAGTTGACCCGGAGTACTGAATAAGATTAGTGTATCTTGAAATCTTACAATGGTATGCTTTGGTTTAGTTAATATTATAACTAATTTGACATGGGGAATAAAAGTTCTAAAATAGGCAGTCGATAAGCGGAGTGTATGACGGTTCCCCTCTAGATGAAGTAAGGACCTGGTAAAACATAGAGGTAGAGGAAAGATTTAGGTTGCTCAGGATCGTACTTCAAGGCATTCCTTTGTAGATGCCTATACTTTCCAGTGGACTCGTGTAGGGCTGTTATAAGGGTTATGTTTCTATATATTATCAAACTATAAGTTTCTAATGTTATAATGAAGTAAATAAAAAGTAAAAAAAAAAACATTGATCCTGTTTCAAGTCATTACCACGATAAAATACCACTCGCATATATCAGCATTAACACGAGTAATATAGCTTCCAATAGTTATCTCGAGCAGTTTCCGATAGTAATGAAAATAAAATGTCCTTTATTACTTTTAGTCGATGCTTCTGAACATGTTGACAAGCGAGTATATCACTATCGAGAATCCATTAGATGAAGGTGAGTATTAACACTCGTTTTTAAAATATAAAGGCGAATAAGGTGGTAAGACTACATTAAAATGTGCAATATTTACTTCAGTAAAGTTAAAAAGTTAAAGTTACTACCTATATAAGTCCTAATGCTGGGGCCTGGGTTCCCCTCATTTCTGAGAGGGTTTTAGTGCAAGGAAGTGTCCGCCGCGCTGCCCTAATGTGTGTTGGCGAACTTCACATGTCTTCAAAATATTTTTTTCTCACTTCTCACACATGTAGGTTTCCTTACGACGTTTTCTTTTACCGCCGAGCAGGTCGTAAATTAGCACTTAAAATTGAAATAAAGGAAACTCAAAACTAAATTATCTATGAATTTTACTGTGTTATGGTGCTTAGAACGCTTACTGATTTTCCTCGTCTAATAGCAATAAAAATTTAACCCTCGCTATAAGGCTTTCCATCTTAGTCCTCAGACGTGACAACGCATCGTAGCCTTCTTCGTTTGAATTTGTCCATGGACTGCTGGACTGTGCTGGTCTGTCACTCCAGATTTATAAAAAAAATATAGGTTTTGTTTCAACACGAATACAGAGAGTAATCTGCCGGCGCGTAGTAGCCTACAGTCGGGCATAGGCTTCTCACAATATAGAAAGCATTTGCTATAACCACCTCGCTTGTATAGACAACAGAATTTCATTATAATATTATAACATTGTAATAATAATGTCGTCTAGATCGAATTTCGGTCACGGCGGCCAGCCTCAACGGAGATCAGCCATCTGCGCAGAACAGGATTATAATGCAAAAGGGTATGCGCAAGCACGAGTGCACTCTCTATTACCTCACCCTCGTAATCCGAGTGGACGGTAAACCGACACAACCGGAAAGAGATCAGGCGCAGGATCAACGGCTTTACGTGATTTCCAAGGCACGTGGGTGAGACATCGCCAACTTTCTGACTCCGGGCAGCTGCTGAGAAATTCTTAATGAAAAAACTCAATAACTGGTTTTTTGGCTCTACCCGGGATTCGAACCCGAGACCTCATGATCAGCAGTCGCACTACTACAACCACTAGACTAACGAGGTTATAATATATATATATATATATATATATATATATATATATATATATATATATATATATATATATATATATATATATATATATATATATATATAGTGATCGCCAACATGCTTGTACTATTAAAACTTATTTAAAAATGTATAAACAAAATTATTGTAAAGTGAAATATAGGTTTCTTGTTGGTTCTTCCCAGGACAGAGGTATCTGTAGTAAATAAAACATGACTTTCAATAAGTATTATATAATAATCTATAATTAATAATAGTAATTCTATTGTATTGTATTCTCTGTAACATATTAATATATTTACTAACTTTTAACTAACCATTTAAAAAGAATGTGTTTAAAGAAATCAATAGATATTGTGCAAATATTGTTAAATTTAACACATCTAATGTTCATAATATAAGCAAAGAATTTTAAAAATATCCGATTTTTATTTTATTAATGGGAACTAGCGGTTAGCACAAGAAATATAAAGAACCATTAATTACATAGCAGCACTTGTGCAATGTAATTAATGGTTCTAAAAATATAAAATTGTAAAGTGCAAATAAAGGGCGGGCCCAAAGCACTCTTAATTTTACGCCATCTGATGGCTGGTAATAGTTT